GGCTGCTCCCAGGGCTGCACCAGGGAGCAAAGCGGGGGAAGCGGTCAGTGGGTGCGTGGGATGGGCCGCAGCCCTTGCTGCTACACGCCCCCCGGGGATGGCTGCGGACTGTGAAGCTGTGTCAGGCTCTTCCCAGGGGATGCGTGCGTGCGCCCAGATCTGCACGCAGGACAAGAGCAGGCTGCTGTCTACCCCCGAGCGCCAGGAACAGCTCAGTGCCACCGCCGATCCCAGCCAGCACCGGTAGCCTACTCTAGTCCCATGCGCAGATCTGGGGGCACGCGCTCCCCAGACCGCAGCCCCCCCGGGGGGGGGGGGTAGCAGCAAGAGCCGTGCCCTGTACCCACTGACAGCTCCCCCCACTTTGCTCCCTGCTGCAGCCCCAGGAGTGGCCAATGCACTGCACTGCGCCCCTCCCTCCTGCTGCAGCAGCCTGCTGCCGGGCTGCCCTAGCACTTGGGGGAAGCGGAGGGTGGCGCACAGCTGGACGCGGGGGGGGCCCCGACCCTGATCTCAGCTCCAGCCCCTCTCACTCTGCCCAGGGTCAGAGCCAGGAGCCCCACGGGCCCGTGCAGATCAGCCAGGTGCCGCGCCCACCTCTGGGAGCGGGGCTGGGATGGGCTGAGCTGGGCTGTCCTGCCTCCCAGTGCCCAGGACAGGTCGCAGCTGTAGCTGCCAGGTGCAGCTGGGACCTGCCTGCCCCAGGAACGATTCCCCTGACCCCTCCCAGGGTCAGAGCCAGGAGCCCTGTGCCCCCAGGCAGTGACTCCTCCGGCCTCCGCGTGGCCACTGTCCCTCCCCTTGCCCCTGCTCCGCATATGGCTGCCGCCACCCCAATCGGTTTTTACTGATTTACACTGAAAAATGGGTGTAAATCAGTAAAAATGGAATAACTTCAATAAAAAAAATCCAGTAAAAACTGAGAATGCAGAACACTACTCCAGAGCTAATTTCTATCCAGCTTTCATTTGGCCGTGTCACAGGGCCCACAGTGATGTTTCCTGACCCCTTTAGCAAGGCCAGGCTGCATCTGTGTCTACCATCAAGCCTCAGTCTTCCTTCCAGTCCTGCCCCATGCTGAAGTGCTCGTGCCCGGCACAGCGGAGGGCCAGCGGGCAGACAGACTAAGATGCGCATGATATGAGGCTGAACTTCACTCCTTAGTCCCAGTTCTCAGCTCCTTGGCCAAAGCTGCTAGCAAGAAACGAGACGCGCTGCAGAGTGAGAACGCATCACAATAAAGATATCGTATCACGTCAAAAATCAAGCACATTGCCGTGAATAAGGAGCCCACACCAGAAACACCGAACCTGATTCAGCCTCTCGAGCTCGCTTCATCAGACCTGTGGACGTTACCGTGCCTCAAGGGCGCCGCGGGGCCAGTGATGGGGGCAGACCCGCCCGCCCCGCGCATCTCGCGGCCCCGCTGCAGACCAGCGGTGTCCAATTCCCGCCGGGGAAAGCTGGCACGCGAGCACCCACCCGTGCCAGTCAAAGGGCGCCGCGCCGTGCCGCGCCGCCCTGCCCTGCCAAGCGTGGGGTCTGCGGATGAAGAAGGCCTCCGCCTGCCCTGGCTGCCCAGCCCTCGCCCCGCATACTCACTGGTCCCGCGGGGCGCGGCCGGCCTGCAGCGCGGGGCCCAGGGGCAGGGTGGCGCGGCCCAGGAACTTGTCCATGCCCAGCAGGGCGCGGTGCAGCACCGTGAGCACCAGCTCCCCGCCGCCGTCGCCCCAGTCC